ATGTGTGTGTGTGTCTCTTCGCCCACAGTTTGGTCTGTCAGGCAATGAGTCTGTGGGCTGAAAACTGGAAACGTTCAGTAACATCTGGAGATCTGCGTGGTTTTTCGGAGCTCTGTGTTTAACCCGACTGCAAAAGGGAAGTGAAGGTGTGGAACATCTCACAAAATGTTTTATTCAAGATTTATTCAAACCAAAAAAACAAAACAAAACAAAAAAAATAGATCATGCCTAAAAGAGGTCTTGCTCTGGAAACTAGTGTGGTAGTACTCGAGACTGGTCCTGGTCTTTTTTTACGGTCTTGGTCTCGCCGCCACGGACTCGAGTGTATTTGGACTCGAGTGTATTTGGACTCGAGTGTATTTGGACTCGGTCTTGTCACAGACTTGAGGTGTGACATGGGGATGGGCATTCAATTTTCTTAATCAATCGTCGGGAGAATTAACGATACATTTTCGATTAATCATTAAGGATTTTATCTTAAAATCATAATTATTATTACTCTTAGGGCTGTCGCAATAACCACAAAAATGAATCACTGCGGCACTAAGAGGCCCACTGCGGTGAATGTTGGGCCACCGCGATCACCACATGTGGCCAACATGACCTGTGAGTCCTGCACGGGTCCATTTTTACAGACACGCACCTGCTCAGGCCCGTAAACATTCCACCCGTTACTGCCCGTGATAACCCAGGACTAACCCAGGACTAACCCAGGACTAACCCAGGACTAACCCAGGACTAACCCAGGACTAACCCAGGACTAACCCAAGACTAACCCAGGACTAACCCAAGACTAACCCAGGACTAACCCAGGACTAACCCAGGACTAACCCAGGACTAAGGTGCACACGCGTAGACTGTCGGGGGACCGCAGGCGAAAGGACCGTCGCAGAACTCTGCGCCGCACGGAGTTAAGTGCGGCCAATGCCCGATAGTGCTTTGCGAAAACCTGCTCCATGTGCTTGGGGTTCTCTCTCTCTTAAGTCCGCGGGTACCTGACCTGGTGCGGGACTCTGACCCGACCCGGTGCGGGACTCTGACCCGACCCGGTGCGGGACTCTGACCCGACCCGGTGCGGGACTCTGACCCGACCCGGTGCGGGACTCTGACCCGACCCGGTGGGACTCTGACCCGACCGGTGCGGGACTCTGACCCGACCCGGTGCGGGACTCTGACCCGACCCGGTGCGGGACTCTGACCCTGACCCGGTGTAGGACTCTGACCCGACCTGGTGTAGGACTCTGACCTGACCTGCCTCTGATAAAAACAGCTCTTTCCTTGTGTCGCTGATGTGGTTCAGCTTCTGTCGGACTAAAGAACACGACGACTCAGGTGAATATGAATGTGTTCTCTCTGTGACTGATGATGTTTTGAGATCAGACGTGTGCAGGTTTAGTGCAGCTCTTTATGCAGTAACAGAGACTGTGTTTACATGCACCATGATGAAACCTGTGATTGGACACTGATGTGACTGATGATCCTCAAACGAACTGACTCCAGTGTTTGTGTCAGACTCAGACTCGTCTCCTCATGATACACAGACACATACATTCAGTTTGTCCATTAAAAATGAACGTGATCGACAAAATTCTTAATGATCAATGATCGATTAGTCGACTGATCATGTCCATCCCTAGTTTGACGCTCGTGGAGTGTAATTATATTTCATTACAGCCGCTGCTATCGGGACTGTGCAGGGCTCCTCACTGCAGCCTGTGTGCTGGTTTATTATACATGTGTCAAAATAACTAAAATACAAATAAAATAAATGTTGGAAGTTACAAAGATGGTCTTGATTTGGTCTTGACGGGCTGTGGTCAGTCTTGTCTTGGTCTCAGCCTTTAAAAGTCTTGGTCTTGTCTCAGTCTCGACACTCAGAGGTCTTGGTCTTGTCTCAGTCTCGACACTCAGAGGTCTCGGTCTTGTCTCGGACTCGACCCTCAGAGGTCTCGGTCTTGTCTCGGACTCGACCCTCAGAGGTCTCGGTCTTGTCTCGGACTCGACCCTCAGAGGTCTCGGTCTTGTCTCGGACTCGACCTCAGAGGTCTCGGTCTTGTCTCAGTCTCGACCCTCAGAGGTCTTGGTCTTGTCTCAGACTCAAGCCTCAGAGGTCTCGGTCTTGTCTCAGTCTCGACCCTCAGAGGTCTCGGTCTTGTCTCGGTCTCGACCCTCAGAGGTCTCGGTCTTGTCTCGGTCTCGACCCTCAGAGGTCTCGGTCTTGTCTCGGTCTCGACCCTCAGAGGTCTCGGTCTTGTCTCGGTCTCGACCCTCAGAGGTCTCGGTCTTGTCTCGGTCTCGACCCTCAGAGGTCTCGGTCTTGTCTCGGACTCAAGCCTCAGAGGTCTCGGTCTTGTCTCGGACTCAAGCCTCAGAGGTCTCGGTCTTGTCTTGGACTCGACCCTCAGAGGTCTCGGTCTTGTCCTGGTCTCAGGGGCCTGTGGTCTCTGCCTGGTCTTGGTCTCGAATAGTTTGGTCTTGACAACAACACTCCGGGAAACACCTTAGTTGTTTTCTTACACACGAGTAGAACTTGTTAAAAAAAAAGTATAAAATTAAATAAGCCAAATTTGAACTACCAGAAAATGTTCACATTAAAGAAAAGCAAAACAGAAGTCATTTGATACAGATATAAACACGACTTGAGCAGCTGTTCTGACACTATTAGAAAAGCTGTGGTGAGTTTGTGGCCTGACAGCTGAACCGACACGGTTTGGCGCTGGTCTGTGCACTTCCTGTTCTGGTGAGCGGGAGGAGGAAGCGTGACTATATTTGTTCGTAGTTTCTGCAGATGTGCACGCAGAGCCGCTTCCTCTCACAAGTTTATTTTGTTCAGTAATCTCAGAACACAAGTTTGGCCTGTGAAATGTTTTACTCAAAGTGTAATGCCACAGAACACGCAGGTCACAAGATGAAAAGGAGCTTTTTCAGTTCCAATACTGAACCTCATATTAACCAATACCAGAGTAAGAACAGAAAATGACACTTACTTCCTCAAAACACAGTTCATTTATTACACAAGAGATCCAATTATATAACTTATTTATTCTTCAAAAACAGCTAAAGTTCAAACATTATGAGACCAAAATCAGCCTCTAAATACTCTTATAAAAGCCTAAAGGAGATACCAGCTGAACCGATATCATGGAACCAATACCTGATGTCGATATCGATATCAATACTCTCTGATATTAACAATTCCAAGTGTAGAAAATGGCAGAAAATGGCACTTATTTCCGCAAAAAGCAGTTCACTTATTACACAAGAGATCCAATTATGTAACTGTTATTTATCCTCCATATACAGCTGAAATTCCAACATTATGAGGTCAAAAACAGCCTCTAAATAGCCTTAAAATCGAATTAAATGCCCAAACAAGATACTGGCTGAACCGATACCCGATCCAGCCAATTGCAGTTAGAAAATGGCACTTATTTCCTTAAAACACAGTTCACTTATTACACAAAAGATCCAATTGTGTAACTTTTATTTATCCTTTAAATATGTCTGAAGTTCAACATTATGAGGTCAAAATCAGCCTCTAAATACTCATATAGGTCCAATTAAAGCCCAAATAAAATACTGGCTGAACCGATATCATAGAACCAATACCTGATATCGATACTCTCTGATATTAATGATTCCAGTGTAGAAAATGGCAGAAAATGGCACTGAACACAGTTCATTTATTACACAAGAGACCTAAATGTGTAACTTTTATTTATTCTTCAAATATGGTTAAAGTTTAAAAATTATGAGGCCAAAATCAACCTGTAAATAGTCTTAAAATCTAATTAAATGCCCAAACAAGATACTGGCTGAACCGATATCATGGAAACAATACCCGATCAAGCAATTTTTTAAAATGATCGGTGCCGATATTCGATACCAGTGTCGTACCGGTGCATCCCTTGTCACAAATAGTCACAAGTTCCTATTCTAAGTGCAACACTATATGCAGGTCACAAGTAAGAATGCACCATCCAGCTTTTACAGTCCCGATACCAAAATCAATACTCTTTGATATTAACTGATACCAGTGTAATGACACAAAATGACACTTACTTCCTTAAAACACAGTTCACTTATTACACAAGAGACTGTGTAACTGTTATTCATCCTTTAAATATGTCTGAGGTTCAAACATTATGAGGTCAAAATCAGCCTGTAAATAGTTTTATAGATCCAACTAAAAGCCCAAACAGAAACTGGCTGAACTGATATCCTGGAACATGAAGACGAAATGGACTGTAAATGTTGACTGGAACCATGAACTTGAACTCAAATGTGATTATTTTAAAGGTAATGTGATTTTTTGCAATGAGATATCTGTTTAATTAATATATGTACTGATGAATTTAATATGTCAATGGACCCAGGAAGACCAGCTGATGGCAACAAATGGGATCCATAGAAATAAACAAATAAATAAACAAATGGAACAGATACCCGATCCACCATTTTGTTTAGTATCGGTGCAGATATTCGATACCAGTGCTGTATCGGTGTGTCCCTCGTCACAAGTCACAACGCCAAGAGTTCTCTGGGTACTGTAAACTGAAGATTACTCAAGAGCCAGGAGCTGTCGACATTTGAGACGCTACAGGTTTTTTACACACATGTGGCAGCAAATGTGGCAGAAAACCTTCTAGAAGAAATACTTAAAGACTTTCCAGAGTTAACACAGCAGGAGAGACACTTTTGTCTCATTCTCTCTCTCTGTTAGACTAAAGAGGACAGACTCAGTGACCAAAACAATCAAGATACTGCACAGGACCATGAGAGGCAGGTATTTTCAGTGGTAGAAAATGTGAAAGTAAAAGTACAGTGACACAGCTGCAACAACAAGTACTACTGCTCAAAGTACAAGTTACTCGATCCTTTTGTCTGTAAATTCAGCAGCATTTTAGATCATGTAAAAGCTGAATGTTAAACTCTGCATATTCTCTGAGCTCTGTTCGATCAAAGCAGGCGACGAGGAAAAAAAAAAGACATGTTCTTACCTGGTCTGCTCCTGTCGGCCTCATCAGGGACACCCTGTCGTACTGCCTCCTCAGCAGAGCCCACAGAGCGTCCATACGACCCTGACAACAAACACAAAGTTAGGTTTTCGTTTTTAACAGATAAAAAGTACAAAATAAAATAAATGATAATAATAATAAAAATAATTTAACTAAACTCAAGTAAAAATACAAGTTATGATCCAGATTAATTATGTAATTTAGAAGAAAGAGACAAAACACAACTCCAGGTATATTTTTGAGGAGGTAAAAACATTCTAACATGACTTGATATGTAGTTGATGAGTATGATTATCTGAAAAACACTCATTTCTACAGTGTTTGTGGTGTTTGTAGTGTCGGTAGTGTTTATAGTGTATAGTGTTTAGTGTTCATTGTGTTTATAATGTTTATAGTGTTTATGTTTATAGTGTTTGTAGTGTTTAGTGTTTATTGTGTTTGTGGTGTTTGCAATGTTTATAGTGTTTCTGTAGTGTTTATAATGTTTATAGTGTTTCTGTAGTGTTTATAATGTTTATAGTGTTTCTGTAGTGTTTATAATGTTTATAGTGTTGCTAACGTTTATAATGTTTGTGGTGTTTGCAGTGTTAATAGTGTTTTTTGTTTTGTTTATAGTGTTTATAGTGTATGGTATTTAAAGTGTTTATATTAATAATGTTTATTATGTTCATAGTGTTTGTAGTGTTTATTGTGTTTACATTAATAATGTTCATAATGTTTATAGTGTTTTTGTTGTGTTTATGTTACTAGTGTTTATTGTGTTATATTTATGATGTTTATAATGTTTGTAGTGTTTATAATGTTTATTGTGTTTATAGTGTTCATATTGTTTGTAGTGTATGGTATTTATGATGTTTACAGTGTTTATAGTGTTTATAGTGATTGTTGTGTTTATAGAGTTTATGATGTTTATAGTATTTATAGTGTTTTTTTGTGTTTTTTGTTGTGTTTATAGTGTTCAGTGTTGGTAGTGTGTAGTATTTATGATGTTTACAATGTTTATAGTGTTTATAGGGCCTGAGTGTTTTGTCTGACCTTGATGGGCGTGTACCACTTGTTCTGGGCTGGTGTTTATAGTGTTTATAGTGTTTATAGTGTTTTTTCTGACCTTGATGGGCGTGTACCACTTGTTCTGGGGCTGGTGTTTATAGTGTTTATAGTGTTTTTAGTGTTTATAGTGTTTTTTTCTGACCTTGATGGGCGTGTACCACTTGTTCTGGGGCTGTGTTTATAGTGTTTATAGTGTTTATAGTGTTTATAGTGTTTATAGTGTTTTTTCTGACCTTGATGGGCGTGTACCACTTGTTCTGGGGCTGGTGGGCTGGAGCATGTCTGGGTTTGGGTTTCTGGATCATGGGTTCTTCCGCGTCCTCAGGGATGGAGATCTTGGCGTTTTTAGCCTTTTCCAGACGAGCCCCCTCCTCCGTCGAGCCCTTCTCTCCCCAACGCACCTATGACAAAAACAGGACCACATTAAAGACCTTGTACTGTTCATAAAAAGGGTTACCAAAACTTTCAGAGAGCAACAAGCAGGGATGTAACGATATCAAAATCTCTCAATATGAAATTTTACGATATTACGGTACGATATTTATTTCAATATTTTGTGGAGGCTGACAAAACTATGACTATGCAACTTTTATCTCATCATAATCCAACAAATTAAGATTTAAGATTAAGTGCTTAAAGGTTGTATGGAGGATTTTTTTGTTTGTTTTTTTTGTTTCAAATTGTCAGTGATAGATTATAGATGCAGTCGCCTTGTAATTATGATGACCAAAAAAAAGAGAATAAAAATTCATCAACTCTGGACGTGGTGGGGCTAAACATTTGCCAATAGATAACGACACTGCCTCGTTATCTGTGAGCTGACAGGCTGTCAATCAAACTCCCTACGTTTCTAGTGTAACTGACTTGCCTGCGCCGCCGGTACGTGGTTTACGTACGACTGTCACACAGTCCACAGACGCAAGACGCACAGACGCTGTTTACTCCACCAACGCAACAGTTCTTAGCGGCTTTTTTTGACCTATATCTTCCTCGCAGTTCGCACAAAGTTTGTTGCGATGGCGACAAGAATCCAGGAGCAGTTAGACGCAAAAGAAAGTCCGTTTTTGAGGTCGCTGAAAGAAGAAGACAAGGGGAAAAGCAGCGAAGCCAAACTAAGGTGATTCTTGAAGATTCATTCCAGCGATGGCGCGACTGAAGCAGACGAAGGGTCTAAAGACTGAACCACTGGTCCACAAATTACTCCTGGACAGGAAACTTCTGCTTATTATGAAAACGTACTTTATTTCCAAGAGCTGGACACAAACGTTTTTTTCAGGACACGAAAGTGATATCCTATGTCTGAAAACGTCATTTTCAAGGCAAAGAAAGAGTCCGCTTGCTGCTGCGTGTTGGTAGCTAGTTCATTCGCACTGAATCTCCGCGCAACCTTCTCTGCTCCCCTTTCCTGCTCCTGTCCCCGCTGCCCGATCCACTCTTCCCCTCCTCCTCACTTCTCCGGGCACGAATCTCCGCGCCCGCACCCGCTCCCTCTCTCTCTCTCTCTCCTCTCCCTGCTCCTCACTTCTCTCGAACGAAAATCCGCGCACCCCCTCCCCCTGCTCCTCACTTCTCCGTCTTGCCTAACCAACACTGTAGTTAGTTGTTTACAAGTCATGTGCAGCACCGGCTGTAAACAAACCTGTTTCTGGTGTAAGGAGGAGGAGGGAGGAGGTGTTTTCTACGTAGGAGCTGGTGGGGGGGGGGGGGGGTGTTTTATCTGTTGCTGCTCCATAACAATGAATTTAAGCAACAAAAAACCTTGTAATTCGATATATTGCAATGGTCCATGATAGTATTGTGAGCCTTTATTGATATGATATTACGATATTTTGGTTATTGTTACATCCTTAGTAACAACCGAAAAAAAAGTCCAAAACAAGGGACCTGAACCCTACAAAATAAAGCTCAAATAGAAGGAAGTAGTTAAGTGTTTTGAGTCTCAGTGAAACAACTCCACAGTGTGACATTAAACAGCTCCACAACATTTATTCAATTACAGGTGGTTTTAAAGCTCAAAATCTGACTGAGAGCGGGATCGCCTCTCCACAGATCTGACCTGTAACTTGGTCCAGATTCAGTCCTGGTTTAGTCCTGGTTTAGTCTTGTTTTAGTCCTATTTCAGTCCTGATTTAGTCTTCCTCATTTAGTCCTGGTTCAGTCCTGGTTTAGTCCTGGTTTAGTCTTGTTTTAGTCCTGGTTTAGTCCTGGTTCAGTCCTGGATTAGTCCTGGTTTAGTCCTGGTTTAGTCCTAGTTCACTCCTTATTCAGTCCTGATTTAGTCCTCCTAATTTAGTCCTGTTTTAGTCCGAGTTTCGTCCTGTTTAAGTCCTCCTGATTCAGTCCTGGTTCAGTCCTGGTTCAGTCCTGGTTCAGTCCTGGTTTAGTCCTGGTTCAGTCCTGGTTTCAGTCCTGGTTTAGTCCTGGTTTAGTCTTGGTTCAGTCCTGGTTTAGTTCTGGTTCAGTCCTGGTTTCAGTCCTGGTTTAGTCCTGGTTCAGTCCTGGTTTCAGTCCTGGTTTAGTCCTGGTTCAGTCCTGGTTTCAGTCCTGGTTTAGTCCTGGTTTAGTCCTGGTTTAGTCCTGGTTCAGTCCTGGTTCAGTCCTGGTTCAGTCCTGGTTTCAGTCCTGGTTCAGTCCTGGTTTAGTCCTGGTTCAGTCCTGGTTTAGTCCTGGTTTAGTCAGTCCTGGTTTAGTTTAGTCCTGGTTCAGTCAGTCCGTGGCGTGTTTCTTCTGCTCAGTAAATAAAGTCTATGAAGTTCTGACAGTCGAGTCGCGTCTGTGAATTCGTGTTCGTCCTGAAGAAAGCGAAACCGTTTCATTTCATTCCGTGATTGTAATTCTTGACGTCGTAACTTTTTAATTCATATTGTGACGGACGCTTCAGTTAAAATGATTTTAATCTGTGTGTGATTTATCTCGGACGCGGGCGAGTAACGGACAGAATGTTAACGGGTCCGGGCGGGTGCGAGTCTCCAAAACTGGACCCGTGCAGGACTCTGACTTGGTCTAGTTTGGTCTCCATGAAGATGGAAAGGTTTAATGCCATACTTTGGAACATTCCAGACAAATAAATAACATCTTCATGGAGAAAAGCGCTCGACGGACCCTCCGACACAAAAGTTACACGATGCGGCTTCCAGATCCGCCGCAGCCTGCACCAAACACGTGTCGTAATGTTGTTTGTTTAACCTTCCATATTAAATCGTCCTCCCTCCCTTCCTCCTCTCCACTCGTTTACCATCCAGTCCCACGTGTGCTCGTCTTTTCACTCAATCCTTTACATCTGCTGCCTCCCTCCCCGCAAACACATGTACCTTTGTGTATCCGAGCGACTAATTAGCGCCACATTGCCGCTGTAGGTTAAAGCGTGACATCCTCGCCGCTTTTCAAACCTGTTCCTGATGAATAAAAGATCGTTTGTCGCGCGCGCGTGTGAAGCGACGGGAGCGTTTCTCAGCGTGACGTCTTCAGAGCCGAAGGTTCGGTCCTGACACGAGCGCGGGGGGGGGGGGGGGCCTCCAGGAGCTCGGGCCTGTCGAGGGGGGGAGCCGCCGGGGACAATGGGATGAAAGAGGCTCCGGGAGCGGGCCGGGGCGCGCTGCAGGGACGGGGTTAAACGCGCGACAGCCCCGGAGGATCACGGGAAGTCCCCGCAGCGCCGACCACATGCTGCTGGGAACTCGCTGCTGTTTCATATCAGAGGTATCGGCAACATGACAGTGAGCGGTGCCGTTATTCAGCCCCGTTGTGTCACATTTCAGACAATAAACACACAAGAAAAAAAAAGGGAAACCAAACTGAAGCCAACAGCGGGTTTTCCTCAGCAGGATTGTCATTCGATTTGTGAATCAAGACGATGAGAAGCAGGTATTTTTCAGTCGTAGAAAATTTGCGAAGTATTGAAAAAGTTCTCTCTGTTACTTTACCACACAAATTTGAGACATTGTGCCTTGGGATAAAGCCTGCCCGTCTTATAGAATGTAAGAAAAAATATATTTATGACATATTACTGGCTGCTGGGAAAAAGTGTATTACAAAAAGACGGCTTAGTGATAAAGTTCCATGCATTGAGGACTGGATAAATGTTGTTCACACCATTTATGTAACGGAAAAACTGACATTTAATATGAGACTTGACTGTGACAAATTTGACAATTACTGGAAAACTTGGAAGAATGTTTGTTGCCACGTTTAGATCCGTGACCCTGTGAAACCATTGTATTTTTATTTCTGACCGTGTATGTGTATATATGTGCATATATGTATTAGGGACGGGCATTCGATGAAATTTTCTTAATCGATGGTCGGAAGAATTAACGATCGATTATCGATTAATCATTGTTTTTATATTAAAATGATCATCATTATTATTACTATCTGCACTAATCTGCATAAATAAATTCAACTTTACGACATATAAACATAACGACTCTAGATCCACATCAGCTGTTTGACATTATAATGTGTTTAATTCAGTTTTGTTCAAATCTCACAGAAACAAAACTTAAAACCACATCACTAATTTACATAAACTAAGTGAAGATAAAACTCCAGCTCTTGTGTCGCTGATGTGGTTCAACTTGTGTTGGATTAAAAGACATGACTCAGGTGAATACAGGTCAGTGTGACCAGATTTGTGTTTGTCAAAACCAGGACAGCGTACGGGGGGAGGGGGGCGGGGCCTCGTCATCCACATTGAGCGACTCTCACCTGGAAAAACTTTTTCCCACTGGACACAGAAACATATGTGCTGCTTTATCCACTGTGCACATGGACTCACACTTGTCCCAACGCAACGGAAAGTGTGGAATTTCTTGTCCAAATCCTGGTTAAATCCACATTTGTGCTTCGGTTCGTTACAGACTGACCCACTGTTTGTGTCTCGCTCCTTCTGATGCAGAGACACATGTACACACCTGTTTGGTCACGACACACACACACATACATCCGGTTTGTCAATTAAAATTAATTTAATTGATGAAATTCTTAGTGTAATTAGTTGAGTATACAGTTTGAATTCCCAAAACGCATTGCGGGAATTCTCTGTGGGAGAATTCTGTCGGGGTCCAAACTCCCGGAGCTGCAGTACCGTGAGCGACCACTAGAGACAGAGGTGGAAACGCCTTATCGAGTTTTTATTACAGATCCCCGGTGATGTCAGAGGCCCCTCCCCCCTCTCCACCTGCTTCTTGTCTCGTCGGAAACTCTCCTTCAAAGATCACAAACGTTCCTTTAAAATATTCACGCGACGGAAACAGGTTGATCCCCCCCCCCCCCGGCGCGCGAAGTCGTTTCAACCTGGACCCGAGCGCCGCCATCGCCAATGAGCCCCGCGCTGACGGACGGACGGACGGACGAACCTCCGCGCGAACACCCCGGGGCCCGCGGCGAAGAGCGGGAGCCTCCCCGGAGGACCGTGGGCGGCCCCGTGAACTTCAGAGCGGGCGAGGAGATGAAACGAGGAGAAGGTGGAGGAGGAGGAGGAGGAGGATGCAGGTGGGGGTCGGTCAGAGGAGATGGAGTGATGAGAGGAAGAAGAGCGGACCTGGCAGGAGCTGTCATGTCCCGCTCGTCACAGACAGGAGGCGGCGGCGCGCAACCCAATCAAAAGTTCAAATCAAACATCGGCCTCAGCACTTTTAACGGCACGAGGAAGACGAGGAGAAGGAAGCGAGCGCGGAGAGACGAAGGGCCGGCTCGGATATTCGCCTTTGTTTTGTTTGCGACGTTTTTGAGCAAAGTTTGGATCTTTCGGTGTCGACACAACGAAAACTTTTCACACTTAAGGAAAAGTCTTCAATTAAAATGATTATTATTATTACAACAATGATAATAAAACATTCATACGAAGAAAAAAGACGAATACTTGAAGCTGATTGGTTTGAAACTTTAAAAAATAAACCTAAAATTTGAGTTATGTCCTGTCACTTTTTTCACTTTTCCTTAGGACCTCAGCTTACTACTACTACTACTACTACTACTACTACTACTACTACTACTACTACTACTACTACTACTACTACTACTACTACTACTACTACTACTACTACTACTACTACTACTACTACTACTACTACTACTACTACTACTACTACTACTACTACTACTACTACTACTACTACTACTACTACTACTACTACTCTACTACTACTACTACTACTACTACTACTACTACTACTACTACTACTACTACTACTACTACTACTACTACTACTACTACTACTACTACTACTACTACTACTGCTACTACTACTACTACTACTACTACTACTACTACTACTACTACTACTACTACTACTACTACTACTACGACTACTACTACTACTACTACTACTACTACTACTACTACTACTACTACTACTACTACTACTACTACTACTACTACTACTACTACTACTACTACTACTACTACCGCTACTACTACTACTGCTACTACTACTACTACTACTACTGCTACTACTACTACTACTACTACTACTACTACTACTACTACTACTACTACTACTACTACTACTACTACTACTACTACTACTACTACTACTACTACTACTACTACCACTACTACTACTACTGCTACTACTACTACTACTACGCTACTACTGCTACTGTACTACTACTGCTACTACTGTTACTACGACTACTACTACTACGAACTACTACTACTACTACTACTACTACTACTACTACTACTACTACTACTACTACTACTACTACTACTACTACTACTACTACTACTACTACTACTACTACTACTACTACTACTACTACTACTACTACTACTACTACTACTACTACTACTACTACTACTACTACTACTACTACTACTACTACTACTACTAACTACTACTACTACTACGACTACTACTACGCTACTACTACGCTACTACGACTACTACTACTACTACTACTACTACTACTACTACTACTACTACTACTACTACTACTACTACTACTACTGCTACTACTACTACTACTACTACTACTACTACTACTACTACTACTACTACTACTACTACTACTACTACTACTACTACGATACTACTACTACTACTGACTACTACTACTACTACTACTACTACTACTACCACTACTACTACTACTACTACTACTACTACTACTACTACTACTACTACTACTGCTACTGCTACTACTACTACTGCTACTACTACTGCTACTGCTACTACTGACTACTACTACTACTGGTACTACTACTACTGCTACGACTACTACTACTACTACTGTTACTACTACTACTACTACTACTACTACTACTACTACTACTACTGCTACTACTACTACTACTACTACTACTACTACTACTACAACTACTACTACTACACTACTACTACTACTACTACTACTACTACTACTACTACTACTACTACTACTACTACTACTACAGCTACTACAACTACTGCTACTGCTACTATTACTACATCTACTGCTACTACTGCTTTTGCGATTACTACAGTTTTTACTACCACTACTACTACGACTACTACCTGCTTGCAAATGCAAAAAGCACCAACCTGCTGCACGAGTTTCACAAACAAAATAATGTATTTTTAATAAAAACACTGAAGTACGTCCATCCATGTCGCCATCTTTGTTTTGGTTTGTTCCGACCTTCACCTTTACCACAATGCTGCACTGTGATTGGTCCAGACTCCAAAGCGCTGGTGTCCGGGGCCCAATCACAACAGCAGGAGTCCAGACAGATGGATTGTTGTGATATGTACCACAGATTAGTGTATATTAGTGTAAAATTCACTTCAGATATTCCACTTTTATGCACAAAACAAAACAAAAAAAAGTAAACTGTAGACGTGAGACTGACCTCCATGCGCTTGATGCCTCCTGCTCCTCTTCCTCCGTAATACGACGCGTCCACGGTCGGCCATTTCTTTTTTGCTGCAGGTTCAGGCTCCTGTGAATGAATACAGACATTATAGAAAAATTCACAGTATACAAGCTATACAGTATACAAACTTTACATAATACCAACTTTACATTATGCGAACTGTAATTTATATGAACATTACATTATACAAACTTTACATAATACCAACTTTACATTATACCAGCTTTGCATTATGCGAACTGTAATTTATATGAACATTACATTATACAAACTCTACATTATACAAACTTTACATTATACGAACTTTACATTATACGAACTTTACATCATATGAACTTTACATCATATGAACTTTACATTATACGAACTTTACATTATATAAACTTTACATTATACGAACTTTACATTATATGAACTTTACATCATATGAACTTTACATTATATGAACTTTACATTATACGAACTTTACATTATACGAACTTTACATTATACGAACTTTACATCATACGAACTTTACATTATACGAACTTTACATTATACGAACTTTACATTATACGAACTTTACATTATGCAAACTTTACATTAGACAAACATTCATATTATACAAACTTTACTTTCATCTAACTTTACATTAGACAAACATTACATTATACTAACTTTACATTATATAAAATTTACATGATATGAACTGTAATTTATATGATCTTTACATTATATAAACTTTACATTATATAAACTTCCACTGTAAATATTGCACTCTGCACATCGGGCTGCGGTGTGAATAAAAAAAACGCACTTAAGTAAAGTTTTTTTTCCACTGAGCCATGGTTTCTTTACATTTATTTGGTAGTTTAATGCCATACTGTGGAATATTTTAGGCAATGTAATCACCATCTCTATACATCTCCTGTGTTAAAAGTTACACATTTCTACCTTAACTTTAAAATGGAACTAAACACTAAATCCATTTTCAATTAAAATTTTCTATTTCTGCTGCTGCACTTTTTATATATTTTGGTGCAAACTGGGTAAATTTGCAGCTTTGTGTTCAAAAACTGAGTGCGTGCTGCTTCCGGTGGCCATTGCAGTTTCAAGTACTATGTGACATCCCTCATCACTCTCCCCTTTAGTCCTCCAGCTGCGGCCCAGTTTAGAAGCTCTGTCTGAAATGTGTTTAGACCCACAAAATCAAATTATGTAATGAAAAACAATGAGTAATCTATTGCTTCTGAAATTTGTTGCGTAACATGAAGTTTGAAGATGTGACTAAACAGCTTCTTCTTCTTCTTCTGTGGGTCACAAAACGTCCGCCCACGTCAGCAGCAGCAGCAGCGGCGACGGCGACGGCAGATCTGGACGAGCCAGCGAGTCCACGACGACAGTGAATGACACGAGACCGACGAGCGGGTTTCCAACACGTGAAGGGAGGAATTAAAAGACGACCCGAGGAGGAGAACAGGACGACGAGAGACAAAGAGAGAGAAAGACTGAGAGACAAAGACAGGCTGAGAGAGACGTACAGAGAGACAGACTGAGAGAAACAGAGAGAGACAGACAGAGAGACAGACTGAGAGACTGACAGAGACAAAGACAGAGAGAGAGAGAGAGAGAGCAACAGAGAGACAGGCTGAGAGAGACAGGCTGAGAGAGACAGACTGAGAGACAGACTGAGAGAGAGACAGAGAGACACACTAAGAGACTGACAGAGACAAAGACACAGAGAGAGAGAGAGAGAGCAACAGAGAGACAGGCTGAGAGAGAGAGACAGACAGACAGACAGAGAGAGAGAGACTGAGAGAGAGAAACAGACAGATAGACTGAAAAAGAGACAGACAGACAGGCTGAGAGAGAGAGAGAGAGAGAGAGAGAGAGAGACAGACAGAGAGAGAGACTGAGAGAAAAAGACAGGCTGAGAGAGACAGACTGAGAGAAACAGGGAGAGACAGACAGAGAGACAGAGAGACACACTAAGAGACTGACAGAGAAAAAGACAGGCTGAGAGAGACATACAGAGAGACAGACTGAGAGAAACAGAGAGAGACAGACAGAGAGAGAGACTGAGAGAAACAGAGAGAGACAGACAGAGAGACAGACTGAGAGAAACAGAGAGAGACAGACAGAGAGAGAGACTGAGAGAAACAGAGAGAGACAGACTGAGAGAAACAGAGAGAGACAGACAGAGAGAGAGACTGAGAGAAACAGAGAGAGACAGACAGAGAGACAGACTGAGAGAAACAGAGAGAGACAGACAGAGAGACAGACTGAGAGAAACAGAGAGAGACAGACAGAGAGACAGACTGAGAGAAACAGAGAGAGACAGACAGAGAGACAGACTGAGAGAAACAGAGAGAGACAGACAGAGAGACAGACTGAGAGAAAAAGACAGGCTGAGAGAGACATACAGAGAGACAGACTGAGAGAAACAGAGAGAGACATACAGAGAGACAGACTGAGAGAAAAAGACAGGCTGAGAGAGACATACAGAGAGACAGAGAGACATACAGAGAGGGAGACAGACAGAGAGAGAGAAACAGAGAGAGACTGAGACAGAGAGAGACAGCCAGAAAGAGAGACAGACAGAGAGAGAGAGAGAGACTGAGAGAGAGAAACAGACAGACAGACTGAAAAAGAGACAGAGAGAAACAGGGAGACTGAAAAAGAGAGAGAGAGGAGAAAGACAAACAGAGAGACAAAGAGACGGGCTGAGAGAGACAGAGACAGCCAGGAAGAGAGAAAGACAGAGAGAGAGAGAGAGAGAGAGAGAAAGAGAGAGTAAGTGGAGACAGACAGAGAGACTGAGAGAGAGAAACAGGGAGATTGAAAGAGAGACAGAGAGAGAGAAAGACTGAGAGACAAAGACAGGCTGAGAGAAACAGAGAGAGACAGACAGAGAGACACACTAAGAGACTGACAGAGACAAAGACAGAGAGAGAGAGAGAGAGAGCAACAGAGAGACAGGCTGAGAGAGAGAGAGAGAGACAGACAGACAGAGAGAGAGAGACTGAGAGAGAGAAACAGACAGATAGACTGAAAAAGAGACAGAGAGAAACAGGGAGACTGAAAAAGAGAGAGAGAGGAGAAAGACAAACAGAGAGACAAAGAGACAGGCTGAGAGAGACAGAGACAGCCAGGAAGAGAGAAAGACAGAGAGAGAGAGAGAGAGAGAGAGAGCAACAGAGAGACAGGCTGAGAGACAGACAGACAGAGAGAGAGAGACTGAGAGAGAGAGACTGTGAGAGAGAAACAGACAGATAGACTGAAAAAGAGACAGAGAGAAACAGGGAGAGACAGACAGAGAGACAGAGAGACACACTAAGAGACTGACAGAGAGAGAGAGAGAGAAACAGAGAGACAGGCTGAGAGAGAGACAGACAGAGAGAGAGAGACTGAGAGAGAGAAACAGACAGATAGACTGAAAAAGAGACAGAGAGAAACAGATAGACTGAAAAAGAGAGAGAGAGGAGAAAGACAAACAGAGAGACAGAGAGAGACAGACAGAGAGATAGAGAGACACACTAAGGGACTGACAGAGATAAAGACAGAGAGAGAGAGAGAGCAACAGAGAGACAGACAGACAGAGAGAGAGACACTGAGAGAGAGAAACAGACAGATAGACTGAAAAAGAGAGAGAGGAGAAAGACAAACAGAGAGACAAAGAGACAGGCTGAGAGAGACAGAGAGAGAGAAAGAGAGAGTAAGTGGAGACAGACAGAGAGACAGAGAGAGAGAAACAGGCTGAGAGAGAGAAAGAGAGAGAGAGAGAGAGACAGACAGATAAACAGAAACAGAGAGAGAGAAAAAGGTATACAGAGTGAGAGACAGAAAGAAAGAGAGAGACTGAGAGACACACAGACACACAGAAAGAGAGAAAGAGAGACAGAAACACACGGAGGGACATACAGGCGGACAGCGAGAGAAAGAGACAGGCAGAGAGAGACAAAAAGAGGGACAGAAAGCCAGAGAAAGACGGAGAGAGAACACAGAGAGAGAGAAACAGGCTGAGAGAGAGAAACAGAGAGAGAGAGACAGACAGACAGAGAGAGAGACAGACAGACAGAGAGAGAGAAACAGAGAGAGAGACAGACAGACAGAGAGAGAGAGAAACAGAGAGAGAAACAGAGAGAGAGACAGACAGACTGGTAGGTGTGAGTGGCTCTTGTCAGGGCCATAAGAAAAAGACGACACACATTCATTTGTCAAGAGGAGAACGCACATGTCCCCACTGTCCCAAATGTGTCCCAGTTCAATTCACAGCACCTGATTTTTACCGTCTCAAAAACATGAAAAAACAACTCATTTTAAAACGTACATGACAGATTAGACTTTTCATTTTACCAAAACACACTTCAGAACATTATATTAAAGATTTCAATCCAATTTTGATATTTTCTTCTCCAGTTTGGACATTTTTTTTAAACCGAGCAACCAGAGGTGGGACCATGTCTTTGTTGTGTAAGTCTCAAGTCCAAGGCGAGTCTCGAGTCACTGGTCCATAAGTCCAAGTCAAGTCCAAGCTGTCTGCTTTGAGCTTCAAGTCATTTTGAGTCTTTAAACCAGGGGTGTCCAAACTTTTTTCATCAAGGGCCACATATCTACACAAAGATGAAGCGGAGGCTGATCGAGGGCCGTAGACTGGAGCTCAGTGCAGTGAATCATTGAAACACGTGCATGTTTAACACGTTAGAATGATCCATCGGTCTTTATTCCTGCTAAGATCAAACTAAATATTAAATATTTGCTTTATCAAGGTAGATTTTCAAAAAGCTTGCAGTTAAAAGTTCATTTTTAATTGATGCAAGGTCATTTGGGCCAATTCATCTCGAAGCCTGAGGGCCAAGAAAAACTCGTCTGAGGGCCACATTTGGCTCACGGGCCATAGTTTGGACATGCCTGCTTTAAACCAAAGTAGCTCAGATTTTTGTAATTTATATGAATTTTAAACTAAATTGCACTTAAAAACTCAGGGTATATTTATATCTGAGTATTTATAGAGTATATTAGAGTAGAAATTTATTTAGTTAATTTTTCCTTTTTAAATGTCTTGACAAGATCTTTGTGTGAATAACTACAGTCAGAACAGAAAGAATTAATTAAAAGTGTTTTTCACGTCTTCTCAAGTCACAAGCCTCAAGTCCCAAATCATTGACCTTCAAGTCCAAGTCCCAAGTCCAAATCGAGTCTTAAGACCTAAAGCCCCTTTTACACTGAAATGAATGAGCGTATCACCATATCAGAAACGATCTGTGTCCAGACACGTCGTTTCTGTGTCCATAAGTCGTCTCTATCCACACAGCTTTGAGCATATTTGTTTATGTTTTACAGAAACTAAACTTAAAACCACATGGTTCATTTGCATAAACTGAGCTAAAAAAAAAAAACAGCTCTTTCCTTGTGTCGCTGATGTGGTTCAGTTTCTGTTGGACTAAAGGACACAGTGACTCAGTGGAATATGAGTGTTCTCTCTGTGACAGAGGGGTGTTCTGCTGATGGTGAGTCTGTTCTGTGTTTCTGTCGTGTTGTTGGTTCATGTGAAACTTTTCAGAGATTCTACGTCTGCAGGTCGTACACACAGACACACGTTTATATGAATGGACAGATATTCTGGCCTCTTAGTGTTTTGTCGGTGAATGACTTTGCGGCGCACAGATCTACATCAGAGTATCAGTGTTTTCAGGCGTCCACACGGTGCCGGATCAGATCTGTACCAACATGAATTTGTGGGAGCTGGAGGCACCAGATCGTTCCGTCTCTGGAGCTATTTTCAGTCGGATTAGTGTGAACGAACACTGTCCCCAAAACAAAAACAACTCGAATACGAACTAGTGTGGACGGGACCTAAAAATAGTGACTCAAGCCTGACTAGTCTAAGTCACGACTTGTAAGTCCACACGTCTGCAAGTAACCATGAGTGCGTATACATGCACATCAGTAACCCGGTTATTAGCCATACCCCGGTTCTGTCAGTATTCGTGTTACTGTGTTTACATGCGCACTGAGAAACCGGGACACTCATATCTGCGTGTACATGATCAAATGGAGTATCCCGGTTTCTTGACATAATCTTACAAATGCGCAGGTGCAAAAATTAACTTAAATCAATTTCATAAACCAGGAAAAATACAAACCATGAGCTCCTTTAGCATAAGAAGCTAAGGAGCTACGAGATCTCCCACAATCCACTGTGCAGATTCTTCATTAAAATCTTCTGCATAAATAAACTCAACTTTACAACATATAAACCATAAACACTATAGACACATCAGCCCGTTTGATCAGATCATTCAGCTGTGATCACATTTGTTTACGTTTTACAGAAACGAAACTTAAGACCGTTTGGCTAATTAGCATAAACTGTTAGCGGCGATAAAAACAAACTCGCTCCTTGCGCCGCTGATGCGATCAGTTTTTTTTTTTGGACTAAATGACACGACTCTGTGGATTATGTGTGTTATTTCTGTGACAGAAGAGGCGCTGATGATGGTAAGTGTGTTCTGTGTGTGTGTTGTATAGGAGATAGTTCATGTTTTAGCTTTTCAGCGTCACACGAGTAGTGCAGATTGTACGTGTGCAGTTTAGCGCAGCTCTTTATTTTACAGTCATTTCACTCGTTTGGTCACTTTATTTATGTTGGTCAGTTTATTTATGTCACTACTGTTGTGGTGAAAGGCTGGAAAGTGTCTTTTGGACGCATGCGACTCAACTTTATGTTGCAGTAACCGGGATACTGCGTTTACATGCCACAAGTATCCCGGTTACTATCGGAATAAACCAGCTACAGTAACCCGGTTTCTAATAACCGGGATACTGCCATAACCGGGTTACTGAAACCGGGTTACTGCGTATACATGCACCATCAAGAAACCGGGATACTCAAAAAACCCGATCATAACCGGGTTATTGATGTGCATGTGTACGCACTCCATGTATTTGACAAATAAAAACATAAGAAAACACCTTTATTTTGTTGAAATAATCAGAAAAAAATACAGTTACCCAAAATTAGTTTTCAGAATACATATTTTCATTACACGTACTCATTTTCCAACATTTGCTATGATTCTGACACAACCAAAACACGCAAACTCATTCACCAAACACCCAAACAATCTGAGAAGCAAAACCAGGACCTTCTTACGTTAATTTTGTTGTTGTTGTTGTTGTTTTTTTGTATTTCCGTGTGTTTTGTTTGCGTGCGTTACTCACCGGTGGAGGAGGTCTGGACGGAGGAGGCGGAGGAGGAGGATCCCTGATGACCTGGATAAAACAAAACACATCAGCTGTCAGAGGTGCATCACGCGGGTTCAGTCACGGCTCTGTCACGTCTCCGTCCGTCACGTGAAGCCGGACACGAGGTGATGGAGGAGAAGAGACAGACCGAGCACCGCCGCCGCCGCCGCCAAAGCGAAAGGGCGAGGGCGATTGTGCAACCTCTGCCGTTTTGTTGTTCAAGAGACTCTTCACCTGTGTGCGTCGATGAAAAAACTCACAGTCGGCATTTCTGTGGATGTACAGGGTTTATATTTACACGAAACTTTGGCTCTTGTGAGGTTTGACTCTGTCTGCGTCACCGTCGACTTCAACGGACAAAACGCCGCTCTGAATAAAACGGACGATTTTGGCAAATGCGGTGTCAAATTTAATTCAAGCGAAACCAGGACTGAACCAGGACTAAACATGGACTAAACCAGGACTAAAACAGGACTGAGCCAGGACTGAACCCGGACAAAACCAGGACAAAACCAGGACTAAACATGGACTAAAACAGGACTAAAACAGGATTAAACCAGGACTAAAACAGGACTAAAACAGGATTAAACCAGGACTAAACCAGGACTAAAACAGGACTGAACCAGGATTGAACCAGGACTGAACCCGGACAAAACCAGGACAAAACCAGGACTAAACCAGAAATGAACCAGGACTAAACCAGGACTAAAACAGGATTGAACCAGGACTGAATCCGGACAAAACCAGGACAAAACCAGGACAAAACCAGGACTAAACATGGACTAAAACAGGACTAAACCAGGACTAAACCAGAAATGAACCAGGACTAAAACAGGATTAAACCAGGACTAAAACAGGACTAAAACAGGACTGAACCAGGATTGAACCCGGACAAAACCAGGACAAAACCAGGACTAAAACAGGATTAAACCAGGACTAAAACAGGACTAAAACAGGACTGAACCAGGACTGAACCCGGACAAAACCAGGACAAAACCAGGACTAAAACAGGATTAAACCAGGACTAAAACAGGACTAAAACAGGACTGAACCAGGACTAAACCAGGACTAAACCAGGACTAAAACAGGACTGAACCAGTCTTTTTAAAGCCAAATCAATTTGTATTCATAATTAAATCATTTTTATTCAGAATTAAATCATTTTTATTCGGAATTAAATTGTTTTTATTCAGAATTAAAGCTCTCATGTAAACGTGGAAACTTTATTATTCGTCTGTAATATTTGACCTTTAACTTTAAACTTCTGAGTGTCCTTCTTCACCGTGATGAGTTCATAAGAGTTTTTCGCATCTTTCCGAGGCTGGAGTCTGTTTTGACGTGACGGTGAAACTAACAACTAGCATGCTAACTTGCACTTCCTGATGACTGGATAATAATAAAACACTATAAACAGAATTGTGGACACAGACAGTAGCAGCAGACTTATTTTGAGCAACACTTTATTATTAGTCTGTCTACGTCTCCAAAGCTCAAAATGCTCTGTTCCACCTTGTGATGTCATGAAGTGGTCGTTTTGGAGTTAATAGCTTTAGTTCAGTAGAGCAATCGGCAAATTCCGGAGCTGAAATTTTCCATTTGAGAGAAGAGCTCGGCCTAAATGTGCGGAGTTTGTGTGTTATACGTGTGAAGGAAACAAAAGAAAACACAGCTCCAGGTCTGTTTGTGATGAAGAAACGACAAAACACAGATCAGAAAATAACGTTGATTCTCCTTTAAACGGGCTTTTGGTCTCCATGGGATAAGTATTTTCGAACATAACATAATGAATAATGAGAAAGTGAACAAATAAAGTCGCCTGTGAATACTTTTCTAACACTAAATACAGAAAACTCAGGGCTTTTCCTGAGTTGTTTGTTTTAAATCAATGAATCATCACGGGACTAATTCTGCAATAAAATGTTGTTCAGGAAATTTTGTTGACCAAATTTAACCGCAGAATGAGTCCCGCGATGATTCATGTACTTAAAAAAAACAATTTTGATGAAGTCCAGAGTTTTTCTATGACGCAACAAAACTGGCAAAATGCAAACGGAGCATTTTTGAGTGTTTAGAGAAGAGGACTGTGGATTAGACGATTAATGAGACGGATGTGAATGAAGCGAAAAACAAGTCCAGGAATGTTTTTTGAAGAGGGGACATGAGTATAACATGGGTAAAAAGTGAAAATGCTGTTCAGATGGAGAACGAGACAGAATTCTCACAAAACAAGACGAGACACAAGATAAGGTTCATGAGATTAGTCCTGCAGTGATTCATGGATTTAAAAACAACTTTGATGAAGTCTAGATTTTTATCTATGATGCAACAAAACTGGTAAAATGCAAACAGAGCATTTTTGAGTGCTTAGAAAAGAGGACTTTGGATTAGACGATTAATGAAACGGACATTTCAATTCAGTTCTCACAAGACGAGACGAGACGCTGGATAAGGTTCACGAGATCCAGACAAGGCGAGATTTTGATATAAATACAGTAAATAAATGAATCATCACGGGACTCATTTTACAGTAAAACATTCATGAAATTTTCTTCACAAAATTTGACCACAGAATGAGTCCCACGACGACTGACGGACTTAAAATGATTCTTCTTATTTTTAAGAAGAATAAAGGTTTACATGATCGAGGAATAAATAAATTTATTTTTAAAATCGTAATAAACCACTCACTTACTTTGGAATTAAGTTTGATTCTGAATAATCATTTTCATTAGGAATGAAGTGTTTACACTGTCTTTTGAAAGTAGAATTTTTATTCATACTGAAATTATTTTTATTTGTAATTAAAGCTCCCATAAAAACGTGGCAACATTATTATTAGTCTGTAATAGTATAATGTAATAGTCTTTAACATTATGAGCGTCTCATTTTTCACAGCAGTGAGTTCATAAGAGCTTTTCCCAACACTTGTGTGTTGTTCATGAAATTTTGTTCACCAAATTTGAGCACAGAATGAGTCCCACGATGACTCATGGACTTAAAAACAACTTTGATGAAGTCTAGATTTTTATCTATGATGCAACAAAACTGGTAAAATGCAAACAGAGCATTTTTGAGTGCTTAGAAAAGAGGACTTTGGATTAGACGATTAATGAAACATGGACATTTCAATTCAGTTCTCACAAGACGAGACGAGACGCTGGATAAGGTTCACGAGATCCAGACAAGGTGAGATTTTGATATAAATACAGTAAATAAATGAATCATCACGGGACTCATTTTACAGTAAAACATTCATGAAATTTTCTTCACAAAATTTGACCACAGAATGAGTCCCACGACGACTGACGGACTTAAAATGATTCTTCTTATTTTTAAGAAGAATAAAGGTTTACATGATCGAGGAATAAATAAATTTATTTTTTAAAATCGTAATAAACCACTCACTTACTTTGGAATTAAGTTTGATTCTGAATAATCATTTTCATTAGGAATGAAGTGTTTACACTGTCTTTTGAAAGTAGAATTTTTATTCATACTGAAATTATTTTTATTTGTAATTAAAGCTCCCATAAAAACGTGGCAACATTATTATTAGTCTGTAATAGTATAATGTAATAGTCTTTAACATTATGAGCGTCTCATTTTTCACAACAGTGAGTTCATAAGAGCTTTTCCCAACACTTGTGTGTTGTTCATGAAATTTTGTTCACCAAATTTGAGCACAGAATGAGTCCCACGATGACTCATGGACTTAAAAAGAACTTTGATGAAGTCTAGATTTTTATCTATGATGCAACAAAACTGGTAAAATGCAAACAGAGCATTTTTGAGTGCTTAGAAAAGAGAACTTTGGATTAGACGATTAATGAAACATGGACATTTCAATTCAGTTCTCACAAGACGAGACGAGACACTGGATAAAGTTCACGAGATCCAGACAAGGTGAGATTTTGATATAAATTCAAATGAAAAAGAGTCATGAAGTTTTTACTCTGTCTTTTGAAAACAGAACTTTTACTCATAATGAAATTATATTTATTTGTAATTAAAGCTCTCGTGTAAACGTGTCAACTTTATTTTTAGTTTAAGACTTTAACTTTAACATAATGAGCGTCTCATTTTTCACAACAGTGAGTTCAGAAAAGCTTTTCCCAACACTCGTGTGTTGTTCATGAAATTTTGTTCACCAAATTTGAGCACAGAATTACTCCTGCGATGATTCAGGGACTTAAACACAACTTTGATGAAGTCTAGAGTTAAGGCTTAATTAATAATGAACAAAGACTTAATTAATAATGATTCACGCTTAGTAACTACTTAATTACTACCTTAATTAGCACTTGCACTTAATTTGCCTGTGCTGTAAATAGTCTCTCATAATTATTTCATACTTAATTACTCATGAACTAACCATTTGAACATTTATTAATGATTAATAAACTATGAGAGAATGATTTACTAATAATACAATGATCATTCAGGCAGCTGTTATCTGTTAAGTCTTTCTGAGAGCTTTTCTAAAGTGAAGACAAATTATCCTTTATTAAACATTTACTAAGCGTGAATCATTAGTAATTAAGTCTTTGTTAAGTATTAATTACATCTTTATTCATGCTTTATTAAGGCTAAATAAGGTGTAGTTATTATAAAGTGTTACCCTAGAGTTTTATCTATGATGCAACAAAACTGGTAAAATGCGAGAGGAGCATTTTTGAGAGCTCAGAGAAGAACTCTGGACTAAACTATTAATAATATAATATAATAAACTATTGATAAAACAGACAGAAGATCGAGACAAGGTGAGATTTTCATATAAATTACAATAAATAAAAGAATCATCATTCAGTTGTTTCTGTTCGTCATCATCGCTCTCATGTAAACGTGCCAACTTTCACTTCCTTTCTGTTGTGTTTTGCACTTTGATTCACGAAAATTACAACTCCCATGATTTACAACACAGGTGTCAAACATAAGGCCCGGGGGCCAGATCCGGCCCTCCAAGACTTTTAATGTGGCCCTTGGGTGATTTTCTACTAAAATATTTAAATATTTGAATGATATTTTCT